TATCTGCTCCTATTTACAAACAAATTATATTAATTTCAAACAATAATAAACCAAATAATAAATATGACAAACATAAAAAAAGTTTTGTAATTTATTTATCAGCACAATTTAAAATTAGATGTATAGCCTGAAGTCTGTAATTTTGACACAATTTGTAACAGATTTTTACGAAGAGCAAATCTTTCCCACTAAATTGGTCATGTGACTAGGATATCAGGGTCTCCAGGGGATTAATCATCAAATTAATTGTTATTGGCTAAATCCCACGATTAATCGTGATTAATTTTTTTGCCAATGTTGCCCAACCCTACTCACAACAGAGGTATTGAGCAAAATGTAAACTCATATTTAAACTGCTTGCTGATATCTTATTAATGCAGTGTGTCAAACATTATGTCTTAAAAAAAGCAAAACATCTAGAAGAAGACATAATGTTGGTGTCTAATTCAGCCATTCTTCCTCAGTGTGGTCTGTCTTGGGCATTTGCAACCTGAGCTCACAAAAGTGTTGAAAAAAGGTGTCTTAATTGGATAATGTCCCAGGGATGATACAAAAAACTATGGAAAAAAAGTCCAACTCATTTTATTTCTAAAGCTTTACACATCAGGATACAATATTCTATAATACAAATTAACTGGGCCCGTATTTATCAAACTTCTGAAAGTGGAATTTGGGATTCATCAAATTTCTCAAGACTAAGAATCACTCTTACTCTCCCGGATATTTTAAGACAGCTTAGATCTTTTGTTGCTGAAGTTGGTTCTTTAAGTTTGTGGATAATGGGATGGACTTTTAAGACACAACTTTTCCATTTTAACTTAACTTTTGTTGAATAACTAACAAGGTAAAATCTGTTGCATCTTTTCTACAGCTGAGCTGGATTTAAAGGGGCAATATCATGTAAAATCAACTTTTTTGAGTTTTATATCATGTTATAATGTTATATTCTCATAAAAAAACATACCCAAAGCCTTGCTCTGACTCATTCATGCATGTTTGAGAAATCCTGCAGTGTTTTTAGGAAGTCATGCTGAGGAGCAAAACGACAGGTGGGGACCAGAAATGCCTCTGGGACGTGTCATTAAGCCAAACTTCCTCATGGCGGACCATCCCTCCCCCATCCCCACACACCCCGCCCATGACTCCTGCAGGCTCTCGGGTGAAAGTGAAAGTGAAACCTAACTGTCTGCTGAGCTCTCAACATTAGTTCTCACTCAGTGAAGCTCTTTTCAGATTAAAAATACCTTTGAGGAAATGTATTTTCAGATGCCAAGTAAACTGCATCATAGCACCCCACCCCACCCCCACACACACACACACACACACTGAAATGGGCGAGACAGAAGCGGAAGGCCAATTTCAAGGCGTTTAGAAGAGGAAGTGATGAGAAGATAAGTTTATTTTCTATTTAAACATAAAACGGCATTTTAATAACAGCTAAAGGTGACATAGATAAGTTATTATGGTATAGTATTTAAATGTATGCCTGAGAAACACATAATATTGACCCTTTAAATCATTTTAGAATCTGATAAAGATCAGATCAGCTTTATTATGTCCTGATACAAAAACCACCAAACAGATCAAAGAGAATCTTTTCTTTTTCCCATGACTGGTTCAGGCACCTGAATGTGTGTGAACAGTACCTCTCCCATAAAGATGCTGTCCTCCTCTGGGGACCTGGGTTGGTCCCACACTGTCAGCTCCAGCATGTGGTTCCGAAAATCCCTTCGATGAACATGAGAATAGACGAACGCCTGGTTCCACTTTGGCTCGCAGGTCTTCTTCATTGTTTTTGTCCTTCGTTTGCTTTTATCACTGCGTAAACAACAGGATTTATGACTTTGTTTTCAGTAAACCTTTACTTTAGGTTCAGCTGACAGAATAAACCAATCAGAACCAACATTTTAAAGCCATTAGATGAAAAAGATCAAAATGAGCCTCAGAAATCTAGTGATGTCAAAAAGGATTTTCTTTAACACTTAATCATTTCCTTGATTCACTGACTCCTCATAAGAAGATGTTTTTTTTTAATGTGTGAGATCGGTAACTTTACATATCTCCATTAGCAGCCTGCAATGATTGGTCAGCCACCTGCGATCTGGGAGGAAGTACATTTTGACGTAAGGACTCCTGGGACGCCCATCAGGCCTAAGAGGAAGCTCCACCGCCTGCAGCACGTTGACAATTAACTGATGACCCACTTTGTCATACCACAGCTTTACCTGAGTGTGAAGCATACAAAACATTGTTTTGGTTTACGTTCGCATTTGGACACTGGAGGAGTCTGATCCAATCAGAGAGCACAAACTCACCAAGAGTCGGCCCGGCATCAGCTGTGGAGCGTCTCGGAGCATCCCAGGACTGGAGGGAGATAGGACATTTAAGGATGGTCTCTCCATCTTCTGGGACTCAAAAGAACTGGAACCTGCTATTAAAAAAAACAATAAACAGAAATTCAAGATGATTAATGTCTGCTCCTATTTAAAGGAAACAAAAAAATGTTCTCATTTTGACAAATAAAAACAAAATAATTTGTGGCCAAATCCAAAAACATGTTCTGGTAACTTTTTGAATTGAGAACTTTAAAAAAAAGGCTCCAAGAATCCTGTCAAGATGATAAATGATTCAGAATATCTGCCCTAGTTTGCAAGTGTTGTGTTGCAGAACATTACTGCCCCTGAACACAAAACACTTTGAATTTATTGCACGTTACATACAGCAAAAAGGTCACGCTTTTTTCTGTTAGGTTGATCAAATTCCTTAACTCAAAATAAGTAAATCAATTAGTGAGACAGACATACAGAAACATCTTAAGGGAGAAACTTACTAGATTCTAATGGAGGGTGGGACGTATCGGGGATTCTTGGGATATCACTGAAAAAGAGACAGCGGTGAAAAGTCAACCATGGTGCCGGATGAAACAACATTAGAAATGATGTAAAGACGCATGCAGCAGTGTTCGGACATAAAGAAGCAGTGGAATAATCAAAGCGGTTCTGGTGTCCAGATGAAAAGCATCATGTGGTTCAACAACATGAAGCAGCAGAGGGAAGATGAGGCATGCTCCTCTCATGACTGCTCTGTGTTACAGATTTGTTCGCATTTTTTCTAGAGCCTGAGTCATGAGCTGAAATAATAAGAACGGATGAAAACCAGCAGCTCTGCTCACTTTCCCCTAACCCCTGGAAACATCTGTATCGCACTTTAAACAAAACTGAGCAAACTGTGAAGCACTTATCAATCACGTTTGTTAACGTGCAACCCAAATGCTGACTCAGCTTTATTTAGCACAGATTTATTAATTGTTACACTTTCTTGTATGAAAATAGCTAACATGACACATCACTTATACCTCACTTCTAGTATTTCATAATATTAATACTTTCAACTGTCAGGATCTGTGATTTTTTTTTTTAGTTTTGTTTATAGCTTCTTGTGTTTTAGGATTAGATTTATGTTGCGTGACTTAGGGCTGCACAACATATCGAAAATTTATCGTCACCACGATTACAGCCTGTGCATCAGGCATATCGCAAAGAAACTGGTAAACTGCAATAAATGGTTAGTAGATATGTTTGCATTTCTGCATTTTGTCAGCATCAGTCAGATTTTTTAAAATGGACCCGAGATACAAAATGAACTTAACTTTTATTTAAAATTATTTCATTTATTTTCAGAATTTTTAAATCAATTTAGTTTTTTATGATAGTAAGGGTTGTTTTCCAGTATTTAGAGCATCAGAAAATGTTTTATGGGGGCGATGTTTTAAAGTCAGTGAGAAACTGTATTGCGTGTAATTTGTTGTGCTAATACAGCAACTCTATCTAGTGCCACTTAATAAATCTGTCATGTTGTAATGGAAAGGATGTAATAATTAACTGAAGGCATCAATACTGCATACTTAAGTATTTGTCTATTTATCACAAGTCATATTGTCATCGCAATATTAAGCAGTGTTATTGCACATTGCAGCTTTTCCTGATATCGTGCAACCTTGGTGTGACTGTTGTGTTTTCCTCAGTGTTCCTGTGGGCCATCGCTCACTCCTCCTCAGTAAAGTGTCTGACATCAGCAGTGCATTATTGTCCTTGTATGCCACAATCCAGTCTCCTTCCTATTCTTTGTGTTTCTCCTATGTGTTCCTTCAAGGGCTCTGTAGCTCCTGCAACATCAGCGTTTTTTTGGCGTTCAATCTTCACAAAGCATGAAAAAAATAATGTTACACAATCTACTCTATACTAATACTCCCAGGTATTTTGGCATAAATGTGGTATTTTATGTAAAAAAAAATTTATATAAACTCAGAAATTATGGATATTTTTATTTTTATGGATTTGGTTAGCTTTGGTTAGCTGGTCTCAATAATTTTTTTTGGAACAAAGTTTTTTCTTCCATGGGAGGAGATGTCAAAGGTGGGACCTCTGTTCTTCTCTGTTCTGGATATATATTTGGATTCCGATCACTGGATTCTACAGATTGGCTTGGTGGTCTCCTGGTGTTCTACAAAACAACGTCAGTGGCTTTTCATTTCCTGGCTGCCTGAAAAATATGAAGGTTTGCCGGTCTATCAGCACTCAGACCTTTGCCTTGTGCGAGCTGGACTCGGTCTGCAAGCGGTTCTGCTGAGGGTCACAGGCCGGCTGTGGTTCCTGGACTTTGCTGGCCAGATGGAATTGATCTAGGAGAAAGCTGATAGCACAGCTCAGTGGAATTTGTCAACATTATTTGTCTGATTGGATTTGCCACATTGAGAGGTACCAGCAGACATGAAGGCAGATGGAAAATTGTTATTGTCTGCCTGGCCCAAAACATTCTCTTTTGTTCCCAAACAACTGATTACAGAATTTGGCTCTCCCCTACATGGCCTTGAGAGCTGTGGACAAAATTCTTCCTGGATGTTTACGTAGACTGAGGGTCCCACCCCAACCCCCCCCCCCCACACACACACACACCTGTCTGTGATCTGGTTCCTGGAGCAAGCTGAGGACCGCACAGAATGAACACTTAACATCCATATTCTGAACTATGGTTGGGCGGGTTTTGAGGACTTGATTCTTCGGGCTAACTTTTCAGATGTTCACACAGATACACTCCCCTAAACTCAACTTACTTCTCTGGCTAATAAATATGCAGAGGTTTTTTTTTTATTATAAACACCATAGTTTGTGTCATTGTTGATATAACATGATGTTTTGTTTTGTTTTTCGTCATCTTCCCTTGTGTACTTTTTAGTTTTTTTTTCTTTTAAGGGTTGCACCTCCTCATGATGTTTTCATGAAGATGATCCTTGCTCTGTGCAGGGTCTGTGGCTGCATGACCCAGAGTACCTGTTCTCCTATGTTTGTTATGTTCTGTCTTCTTCTGAATGGGTGTTCTGAACTGTAATTTCATTGTGCTCTGTACAATGACAATAAAGGTCTATCTTATCTTATCTTAAAATAGGCATTGCCAGTGGTGGGCACAGTTCTGCTAATCTGCTAATAGTGGAACTAGCTTCTCATTTAGCAGATTTTTTTTAATTGGGTTCCGCTACTTTTAAGTACACTAAAATAATATAATGTGTAAAACTTCTACTTTCATGCCAATTATTTAAAATAAAATAAAACTTATTCACTTTTATAAGCTGTGCTGGACTAACACATCCTCACTCCCTACTCGTCACATGTTGACACTTGCCCAGGTTCCCTCTGCATCAGTTATTGAGACACTGGGCTTTTCAGAGTTCACAACACATAGGTTGAGTCTCACTTCATGGGTTGCATCCGACTTCGGCCGTTTATGTCACTTCCTCGTGCCGTAGGCTGCCCCAATTCATCAGCGCCAACACATGTGGACAACAAATGTGGCCGACAAAATCCTGAAAACGTCAGCTGCATCTAAGTATCCTATATGGCCGATGGTATCCCAGAATTCATTGTGCAGTCAGCAAACTTAACAGAAAAACAAAGACAGCAAAGGTTTTCTTTTTATTTTACATTGGATTTTTTTTAACGACAGAGTTTGGAAATTTATCGCAGACTAAAATCTGTAAGTTAAACAACTTAGCTGAAGAAACTTTTGTCGCAATCAGATGTTAAATAAAACGCAGTTACAAGTACTGATGCTGAAGCTAAACTTAAATTATTAATGCTTTTCATTTATTAACTTGTAACGTTTTTCTATTAAAACTGAAATTTGTGAAGGTATATCTTGAAAAGAACAACTGAAGCGATGTGACATAAAATGTATTACCCTGGTAACGTGGCAGCGCATGATCACGCAAAACTACGTCTTCTGTAGGATAGACCATCCCTCTAAATTGTACTTGTAAAAATACAAACTTGAGCTAGAAATGGTTTTATTCTGAAAGAGATCAACTGGAAGCATCACAACACTCTAAAAATGAAATGTTGGATTTACTTAACCATGTTATGTGACCTGGTTCCACTTAACTGAGTTGAGTAAATTCAAAGCAACATACTCATGTTCTTTGGTTAAAAAACTGGTATATTGCTTTGAATTTACTCAACTCAGTTAAGTGGAACCAGGTCACATAACATGGTTAAGTAAATCCAACATTTCATTTTTTACAGTGAAGTTAGACAGAGCTACAACTCTACCTACCCAGGATAAACATCTCATCCTCTCCTGACCAACTAGTATCTCACTATAACAACAACCTTCATACCTAACTTAACACCCTGGCACCATTAAAAACTCAGACTGTCTTTTTCACCCATTCTGCACCCTGGTTTACAACTGAACTTTGTCGTCTAAAATCCAGAGGATACAGCTAGAATGCCTGTATAAGAAAACTGGACTCATAATTCACAAAAACATACTCAGACCATATTCTCCATTAAAAGAACACCCTTTCCTCTGCCAAATCACAGTATTACACAGATATTATCAGCACAGGTGATAAGACTACACTTTTCTCTTTAGCAAACAAAACTCTACGCCCACCAGACTATTTCTCCCCTMATTTCTACTCAGTCAGTACCTGCAACTCCATTATGACATTTTTCAATAATAAGATCAACAATATCCTCCTGAATTTATCTCCTCATCCAGAATCCAAACAGCCCACCTCTGTTTTTCTACCCCCTCTGTCAAACTCATTGTCAAGTTTTACACTTCCATCACCTGCGGAAATATCTCACCTGAGCAGAACATCTAAACCATCCACCAGTCAACTTGATCCCCTTCCAACCACACTTGTAAAAGAATCTGTCCTCTTGCTTATCCCAATAATAACAGAAATTGTTCATTCATCTCTCACCTCTGGAATTGTCCCATCATCATTAAAGCAGCAGCAATAACCCCTATCCTTAAAAAACCCAGACCAGACCCCTGTGATTTTAATAACCTCTGACCCATCTCAAATCTGCCATTTCTCTCTAAAGTACTTGAAAAAACAGTCGCATTCCAGATTCATTCCCACCTCTCTGACAATAATCTGTATGAAAAATTTCAATCTGGTTTCCGCCCAATGCACAGTACAGAAACAGCTCTTCTAAAAATTACTAATGACCTCACAGCTGCAGACTCTGGACTCCTCTCCATTCTCATCCTCCTTGATTTAAGCGCAGCCTTTGACACCATTTCGCACACCATCCTCTTTGACAGTCTATCACGTATTGGTATTTGAGACACACCACTTAACTGGTTTATTTCATTCCTTTCTGGCCATACACAGTTAGTTCAACTAAAATCGTTTTCCTCCCATTCAACCCCTCTCTGTTCTGGTGTTCCACAAGGTTCTGTCCTGGGCCCTCTTCTTTTTATCATTTACCTCCTTCCGCTTGGAAATATTTTCCGTAAGCATAATATCCAATTCCACTGTTATGCGGATGACACCAAGCTCTATCTGTCTACCAAACCCAATGCCACCC